CCTTGTCATAGAAGGAGATCAGGTTGGTCAAGCAGGACCTGCCTTTCATAAACCCATGCTGACTGGGCCTGATCACCTGGTTGTCTCTTATGTGCCACGTGATGGCACTCAAAATGATCTGCTCCATAGCCTTCCCCAGCACTGAGGTCAGACTGACAGGCCTGTAGTTCCCCAGATCCTCCTTCCGGCCCTTCTTGTAGATGGGGGTCACATTTTTTAACCTCCAGTCAACTGGGACCTCCCCAGTTAGCCAGGACTGCTGATAAAGGATTGAAAGTGGCTTTGTGTGCACCCCAGTACCCTTGGGTGGATCCCATCTGGCCCCATAGACTTGCGTGTGTCTTAAGTGGTGTAGCAGGTCGCTAACCATTTCCCCTTGGATTAGGGGGGCTTCATTCTGCTCCCTGTCTTCCAGCTCAGGGGGCTGGGTACCTGGAGAATGACTGGTATTAAAGACTGAGGCAAAGAAGGCATTAATTACCTCAGCCTTTTCCTCATCCTTTGCCACTATGTTTCCCTCCGCATCCAATAAAGGATAGAGATTCTCCTTAGTCCTCCTTTTGTTTCTAATGTATTTATAGAAACATTTTTTATTGTCTTTTATGGCAGTAGCCAGATTAAGTTCTAGTTGGGCTTTGGCCCTTCTAATTTTCTCCCTACATAACCTCACAACATCCTTGTAGTCCTCCTGAGTCGCCTGCCCTTCTTCTCAGTATGAACCTAACTCAGCATTCAGTTTAACACTTAGTTCGACTTCAGACGTACAGAACTTCCCTAAAACTTTTCTTATTGTTGAAGAGTTCAGAAACTACAGTAATTTTCTCTGCAGTTGAGGTGGGGAAATTTATCCCAAAGCTCCCGATTACTTTTCCCCTCGCTTTTTCATTCCTCAAAAACCATTTGCTTAAGATGCAACTGATGTTTAGTCAGTACTATTCATTGCCATGAAAAATTTGGTTCTTTTCATCCAAGACTGTTACCCTCGTGTAGAGTACTCTTGCCAGACATGCTTGAGTCTAAAATAATAAAATGGAGACTATGATAGATGCAGTGATAAAGAGATCAGATAGTGCAAACTAAACACTTGAGAAAGACTACTCTGTACCATTTAAATGTATATAAACTCCAATATACTTACATTTAATTTCTCAAGAGGCTGTCCCAGTGAGTAGATTACATAAGACTGAAGATGATCAGTGTATTTCTGTTTGGCTTCTTTTTTCTCAGCCTCAAGACAAGAAATTTTCAAGCGAGAAAGTGTTGCAAAAATATGATGGAAGTTCTCCATCATGACCACATCTCTGGGTGTTTTCTGGCTTTCATTAGCTACTTTCTCAACTGAAAGAAAAAGGAAGCAAAATACTTAAAATACCAAAAGGACAACCAAATTCAGGAAAACATAACCGATAACCGTAATACCGTCAGAAAAGGAATTCTGTAACATAACTAGTAACAGGCTCTAAGACCATGAAATTTGTATGCCAAAAAAGTCACTTATAAAAAGATACAAAATAGTGACTACATACAGTCATTTACGTAAGTGAGAAACAACCCACATTCTGTGGAGGTTTACAAGCATGCTTTTGTTATCCCTCATAAATTTCACATGACAGAACTATTTAAGAAAAGTCTCATTCCTCTCTTTGCTATAACAAAAATCTTCAATAAGGTGGTGGGGTTTTTTTAAAGCGTACTTCCTAGCCTCTCAATTTTTGCTTAGCTTAATAGTTTAATGGTCAAAGTTACTGTCAATCCCCAAATTTAATAATAAAAATGGATAATCCCATACATAGGTCTCTTACTTTCATCCTGCCCCCAAAGAAACCCAGGGCAGGCAAAAGAAATTCTATGTATGACTCCCTTATTGCACCTAAAAGCAGGCTGAAAGAGGATGGCTTCAAAGAGCGCAATTCTCTATGCCTGTTCATCCATTAATCATTTTGCTGAGACTACCAGGATGCCCACCATCCCCCCACCAAATGATCCTGGGCACCAGAGTATCAATAAAGATCATAAATTCATTTGAGTCAGAACACTGAATTGCCAACTAGGAAGAGTCTGCTACTGCCAATTTTGTTCTTCCCATGTAATTTTATAAACACCTCCCCCAATTCTACCTGAAGTACTACAACTGTCTGACCTGTTTCAATCATTACTTGTAAATTAAATATCCTACTGCATTAAACTTACTGCTTGCACTGATTTTGTACATAATTTTGACTTTGTTTCATCTTCATTCTTTACTTCTATCCCTTATCCTCCCCCATCATAATTATTTGTTAAGTTTGCTCTGTACTTGTCTGAAACAGATTTTTTCTTTTTCGGTGTTTGACTGGCATAATTTTGAACCCCTTTTAAAACATGCTTTTCTAAGTTCTTCCTACACTAGTTATTTTATCTTTTTATAGTTTTGCCTGTCTATTGATGTTTGCTTAGTTTTATCACTTGAACAGTAAATTCTTAAGGACAGAAAAATTGGGTGCAATCAAATAAAAAACATTCTCAAAATTTACTGTCTTATCAGCTGGGATGCTCCTGCTGACTACATACGCACTCTAGTCTACTGTACTATGAAGTAATGTCTCTTCACAATTTCCTAATATGTTCAGAGCCACTATGCTATAATTTCCCCAAACTAGCTTTATTGCCTCTACTGTCTCCTCTTGCTCAATCTTCCCCTAAAAAAGACGTAAGTCTCAGTGGTTGGGAAATACTCTATGTGGAGTTGTTTGAAAATCTGCAGGTAAATCAGCATGGAGAGGTCCGTCCATCCATGTCCCTCCCATTTTAAAAGGGAAGGACAGTATTTCCGGAGTTCATTGGCTTGCATATCCCCCGCTTTTTTTTTGTTTTGTTTTTTTAATGTTAAATAAAACCAGTAGAACAAGGGTGTTGCTGCTGTTTTTCCAGACTATAGCTGGGAAAATAGGGAGGACTAGAGAGCCTAGGCTAAGACACAAAGGACCTAATCTGCCAAGAAGAGTTCTGGCTATGAATTTGACCCTAAGTGGTTTATTTTAGACAGGGCTATGAAGATAAACAATATTAGGGCCAAATGCCAGGTATCCTACCCAGATTATTCTCCTCGTCTAAGCTACACTGGGGGAGAAGAGACAGGAAACCACTTCAGATGGAGCATGTCATGTTGCTGCCATCTCCTCTCTCCCTTCAGAGTCTAAACCACTTCCCTCTATCTTAACTGAAAGTTGCTTTACAGGTATGTACAAAGGGAAGTATCTACAGTTTGCTCTTAAAAAGTATATTACAATCAAAAGGTTTACACTTGCTCTCCTACTGATAACAGAGAGAACCAAAATTTCAGCACAGTATCAGTCACATGACTTGCAAGAGACTCTTAAAAAAAAAAATCTGTTAATTGGAGCAAAATTATATATAAATAGGAGGAAACAATCATTTTAGTAACTATGACAACCTCAGAAGACCTACCACTGACAAAAACAGCTCTAATAAGTTTTATGTAGGCTTTATCTAGATCTCCTCGTCGTTCTGCATTTTTGAAAATTGATTCAGCGAGGGCCGCAAATTCTTCAAATTCAGCAACAAATGGAAGGATCCCAACTTTACTCTTCTTTGAGATTTTTACTTCATCCATCTGCTTCATTTGGTTACTCTTAAATTTAAAATAAGAACAGATGTTAGCCTCTAATATATGACTCCAGACCATGTAACAACTAGTAAAAGAAAAGAAAAAGTGCAGACATACTGAAAAACTGACATTTATCCAAACATGGAAATAATTTTATAACTTTCAGTTAGTATATCTAGTCTTCCTCCCTTTTTACCCTCAAAAATTTGTTAAGAAATAAAATTATTGGAAAGAAAAAAAGGAAGATGGGCAAGTAAAACCTTCCAGCTTTTATTCGCCTTTGTTTACTTACTTAGTATTAAGAAAAAAAAAAAAAAGGAAAAAAACCCCCACAAATTTATCCACCAGAAGCAATTAACAATATTCATTCTATAATCTAAAAAGGAACTTCGCTTTTCTGATTCAGCCAAGCTAACAATTCCTTTTGCTACAGGAAGTTTCTTTAATCTTCTACTCAGAAATTTTATTTCTGAGTATAATCCAAAAAAAAATCAGCTTCAGAATATTTTAAGCATTAAACTGATCAAGAATGGTCAGTCTTATTATGTTGGCCTAGAGACAAATTACATTTATGACAATTAAAAAAAAAGTTACACCAGCAACGATGTTTTCACTAAACTTGCCATTATTTCATATAATGCTCATATCGTATTAGCAAAAGGAAGTTTCTGCTAGTAGAAGCTGCCTCTCCTACTGCCAAAAGATTTGCCAATTTATCTAAACCAAGTTTCTGTTAGATATAAGATAGAAATAACTGAACACATGGAAGAGATGTCTATTTGGTATATTATGCTTGAAGGGGAAAAGCAAAACCCTCCTAAGTCCATGAGTCTTGTTTTGGTAAGAAAGGCAGAGAGAGCTATAGTTTACTTGACTGACTTCAGTAATCTCAGTAAGAGTACAAGTTTAAACAAACAAGTAAAAATGTCAACTAGCTCACAGCAGTGAAAGAGTGGTTGTATTTCTTACAAATAGCTAATTATTGAAGAAAACTGGAATGGAGAGGAAAAAGAAACACAACCACCAATTCATTTATCTTTTTTGAAGGTTTGGCCAGTAGAAGAGGAATAAAGTTACTCATTCTCACTTCAAATTAAAAGCAAAAATTTAACTATAAAGAAATGCAAAAATCAAACTGGATAGGAGAGGGCTTCCTGTAATACAGTTAGCTTAATCAGAATAACTAAAGAACTTACAATGCATTTATCAAAGTTCCTTTTGACAGTCACCAAAACATTTCCAAGTGTTGTACTGAGAAAGGAAGCTGGGTCCACATTTTGTGCTGTCCATACATGATGACTCATCTTAACTAACATATAAAGCGAATTAAAGCTATCAATCTTGTCCCCCAGCGCTATAAGATTATTCAGCTCAGGTTCAATACAACGAAATATTTTTGTCATCATTTGTCGGATCATGTCCTTCCTATTAAAAATGCATAAGATAAAAAAATATTACTCTGACAGTTTACTAGGCTATTTTACACATTCTTTGATAACATTTTTAGGATAAATTTATTGGATACAGTAGTCTCATTTGCATTCAACAAGTCTCATGATTTTCAGAATGCTGCTAAGGGAAGAAATGCCAATGCCACACAGTAAAAATCAATGGTCACAGGTATAAAATATTCCAAAAAGTATTTTCTGTGTGGAAGCTGTCACACACTCAAATTCAGAACTTTGCTAAGCATATTTTCCAAAGCATATTTTACACATTACAGCGCCTAGTTTCACTTTGCAAACTATTAGAGAATTAAGCATCTTTTTTTATATTACTATAGACAGAAACATCCATCCTATATACAAAAATTTTTATATTTACTGACACATTCAGTGTCTACGTACAAATTAAGCGTTCACTATTCGTTTTCCCTAAAAGGGAACAATTTCTGATTATAGAGAAAAAAAGTTTTATGTGCCAAATAAATTCACATGTAGGCTTAAGAATTAATAATATACAACAGCAGCACATACTCAGATGATATTGTTTGTGGAACACCAGAAGTGTATGAACGAGATAAAGTTCCTCCGTCCATTTCCTCGACTTCATTCTGTAAGAACAAGGAATGTATATACAGGAAGCTGAAAGCTTGTCTCCAATCCTGTATTTAAGTGGTAAGTATATCTGACAAAACCAAGATAATTATCAGCTTCCCCCCCCAAAGTAGCAAATACAGTGGTTTGCAAGGTGCTGGTAGTTTTCTGGTCACGTTCCCCAGAATACAACACTACCCATAATTACTCCCCATTACCTTCCTACATAGCATGATGAAGTGTTTATTGTGATCTTATGAGGAAACAAAGCCATGGCAGAAGAAACATGTCAGTCCTTCTTTAATAAATTGTGCATTGGTCAGCCAAAAATAAAGATTCTGCCAGCTAATGGAGAAAAACAAATCAGTGATCATCCGGATCACATAATTGCCAGATAAATTCAGGAGTTATCTTTTAAACAGGTCTCTTATGAAGCTTGTTCAATATTTTTGACTTCAATGACAGAATTAAGAGTCATACCGTTGTTGTTCCCGAGATGCTCTGATGTTGCTGTAGTTTGAAAAATTTACTAATGAAGTCCTGTTCTGCCAGACACAGAGGCTCTAGTTCACTTAATACTTGCTCGAAAATCTAAAGAAAGGCAAATATTTTACCAACACACCAAATACTATGAACAGTTAGTAATACTAATTTTAATTGTTGCCTAGGATTTTATACTTTCTATCTTCATTAAGCTTTAGAGGGATTATTTCTATTTAACAGAAATGGAAACAGCTTGTACTTAGATCTTTAAAAGCGATGCCTGCATTTTCAACATAGTCCCTTCTCATCCATATACACTGGGAAGAACAACCTATGTTTTTCCACAACTAGAAGTTTTCTAGTCACAGCCTGAGGAAGGACTTTTGTGCTATAATGAAAACATTTGCATTTTAATAGTAAGTCATGGGTTCTGCCACCCTCTTTTCTGCCTGGGTTGCTGAGGAAGATGACAAAATTAAAAGCCTCAGGGAAGAAAAACAGGTAAACTGTGTATGTAGAAGATAACTGCTCTGTAGAAAAAGTTTCTACATAGCTGCTACAGAAACCAATACCAAGTTTTGTACTGAAATAGAAGTATTCATCATGATTTTTAGTTTTAATCTAAAATGAAACACTATTTTGGCAATAATTCATTCAAATAATTTAATTTTATTAATACGAACTACTGAAATGATGTCAGGTGTTAGACATACTTCTAATCTGTCATCTTTACACAACACAGAATTTTCTCTGCAAGTGTTTAAGGATTAAGACATGCAATAATTTACATAAATAAAACCAATCCAGCCACATAGTAAATCCACACTACTGAAAATTCCCCTAGGAAAAAAAAAATTGAAAAAACCTACTAGGTCAGCGCAGTAGCTTACAACTCTGTATACATTAGTCACACTCACATGTCCCCAGTGGGTGTGAGATAAAAGTCAGAAGAAGTTGAAAAAGATTAGCACAATACTTGTATACTTGTATAAAATTGTTTTAAAAAGCTATCATTTTAATTCTAGACAAGTTGCTGCTGCAGGTGTGTAATAACTGTTTCAGGCATATAATATTTCCTCCCAGAAAAGGACTGAGCAAGGATTTGAAGAAGTCAGAAGAAAAATACTCATTTCCATCAAATAATTCAACAGAGAACAAGAAAATTATTTTTCTCTCTCACTCTGATAACAGCTCCTTTTTCCTCCACAGTACTGAGGAGTTAATTCCACAAGAAGTGAAGAGTACTGTCACTTTTAAAAGTTCGGGGCGGGGGGACACGGGATGACACACCAACAACCAACAAAAAAAAAAAAACAAACCAGATGTGAGGACAGCAGGTTTTTAAACAGATAGAATCATACAATAGTTTGGGTTGGAAGGGACCTCTAAAGGTCATCCAGTCCAACCCCCCTGCAACAAGCAGGGACATCTTCAACTGGATCAGGTTGCTCAGAGCCCCGTCCAGCCTGACCTTGAGATGCTGAGGACACTCCAATAACAACTTAGTGCCATTGGTTAAAGCTGAAAACTGATGGTAACTGTGATGTGAAACCAGTATAAATAAAATTTTAGGGCCATGCTCAAGTCCTGGCTAAAAGAAGATTATGCTTTCTTATCTTTCACTTTTGCTTACATACTGGCAAAATGTGACAGAACACATGAACATTCGTATTGAGAAAAAAAAAAATCACTTGAAGAATCCATCAGTTCAATTCCTATTTGCTTAAAAATGCATATTGGGCTTAAACTTAGTAGACCATTTTTTTCTGCTTGATATTCTTTACAGATCACACTAAGCATATAAAGGAACTAAATGGAATCTTATAATCAGAGAATAATAGTCTGATATACATATTTCTTAGACACTGCCTTTATTAGATGTGTGGTGCATACAGAATTTGAAATAGGCATGTTTTAAGATTTAAACAGTACAGATCTTTAAACTACACAAGAAGGATATGCAAGACGCTTCTAAGACAAAACTAAGCAGAAACGCGATGCAACATTTTGGCTTTACCTTATCAAATTTTGTTCTATCAGCCACATCGAGGTCAGAGGCAGACATGTTTCCCATATCCAACAGTGAGGATGACTGAGACCTACGGTTTCCCGAACTCTGAACAGAGAGTTTATTTAGGCTAGAAGTAGACCCAGTCAATTTTCCAGAACTTCCATGAAGACCTGTGAAATAAAGATGTTATGAAGGAGGGAAGCAAAGGCAGAATAAAATACTCAAGAAGAACAGGTTCATTACAGAACATATGAGATCAAGAGTTACTAGTAGTCCTACATTAAAATCAAACAACTCAATTTTTGTCTAAGCAAATGCTGTTGCTATAAACACATTCTTTTCTCATTACAAGGTAACTGAAATACTTCAGCAAGTTTCAAAGGACTATGCAGCTATATAAGCCCTCATTGTAAAGTATGGAAAAAGGTATAAAAGGAACAAAACTGTGAAATATAGGAACACTGGGATAGATACTCTCCTTGAAAGCTTGGAAGCAAAGACCAGTTATGATCTTCGTGAATGTACTTTGGGCAAAGGCTAACACAAGCAGAAGAGTTAATCCACAAGAGGGAAAAAAACTGAAAAGCTTTATATACACACAGGCACTTTTTAATCTTGAACTTGACCTTTCTGCTGTTAACATCCTTCTGTCTACATAGTTTGCTCCAGCTATTTTGCTGGATCTACAGTCCCACAGTAACTCTACTGCTAACGCTTCCCTCTCCTTTTGATCATAATTAACATTCAGACATGTCTTCCTGATATTCCTTCCCCTGTGGGGCCTTCTCCTAGGTGAGGAGCATCTCTTTTTATTTTTTCCCAAATTTTCAGAAATACTGGAACAGGATGGAGAAAGCTAGTAACAAAGAAGACCAAGAAATCCTCAATATTTGACCCCCACGTAAACCTCTCACATCTCAACCACGAAGAAACTTAAAAGCAATCCTGCAAGTTTCATTTAACTACTATGTTGGTATCTATTCTATGGATGCAAACAAGACAAAGCCTATAGATCTAATAAAAGTTGTTACCTTAACCTACTGGAAGAGTTGGAAAGCTACGACAAGCTCTCAGGCACATATGTATTTTTTAGATCAACTGGTAGGGTGGGAAAACCAAAAGATGTTGCCTTTACCTGCAAACCTTCTCAACTTCTATATCGGGCCATTTTAGCCGTGCTTCATTTTCTGCCTTGCAAAAACAGTGATTCTGCTAATGCTTATTTCATTCTGAACGGAGTGCTTCAGCGTTAAGTACATTTTCCACGATGCAGCACTACATCGTTACATTGACACACATGCATTGACAATACCAACTAATGCAACTAGTTATACTCACTCTCAGTTTCCTGTTTGACAGCACTTTCTTTTCGAGGCAGTGTAGCTGGGATGGATTAGGTTGCAAGCATCAAAGACAAAGACAAGTTAAAATGCAGTTTGCACAAACCATGCACAAGATGCAAGTTAAGCTCTAACTGGAAAGAAACATGCGGAGAACTATAAGCAGCAAGTAACTACATTGCAAACACATTTAGTTGGAGAGGTACTATTCTAGAAATTCAGTATCTAAGCTACATGGAAAACAGCAAGTTTCTAGATATTAAACTTTACTTTTTCTTATAGAGTGTGTTCAAAGAACATTTTTGGTAACATGTATTTAAGTTCTCCCAAATTGAGAAGTCCATTAAATTAGGGTTATATTTGTCAGAGTTAATGTTGCAAAAGACTCAGTTTCCAAGATCAATGATCATATCGATAATAGACGTGAAAAAATTAAAATGTATTTACGTAATTTTGTACTGAGTCAGAGATATTGTCCACCTATTCAATTTAAAAAACACATACCAATACTGCAAAATCATTCATATCAACATGATATGACTGGTTAACCTTTTCTGTTGTTCGCAAATCAGGAAGTTTACATAGAGAATACATCTTTTGTATCCATGCTGCACCAAAAATTGATGACTGCAAATTCGGAGAGGATGAAAACAATAAACATATAGTAAAAAAATTTACAAGGTGTTTTTTTACTTTTCCTGTTTTTTTCAGAATAAAACAGTTTCCTCAAGTGGACTTCAATATGAAATTTAGAGTAAATGGGCATTTGTAGTAAACAGAGAATCCCTAACCAGTAAAAGGCATTTGCATACATACACTAAAAGCAGTATGTGGTATTAAGAAGATCTTGATGAGGATGGATGCTACAAGCCCCCCAAAATGGAGCAGGCAAGCAGAACCTACTGTAATAGAATGAGTAAATACTTCTAAATGCCACAAACATGTCTTAAATACCAGATGTTCTCAAGTAGGCAACACTACTGACAATTATAATGTCAAACTTGAATTTAATTCCAGCCTAGTTTTTAGATCTTGGGGATTTTGGCAGTTTTTGAATAAAAAGGTTTAGGCCTGATATATTTGGCATATGCATCTGTCATGCATTGGTCCCACTTCTTCATCATCCTCAATTTCCAAATGCACAGGACTATATTACAGAATGTGAAGAACTACAGGCAAAGATCAGGCCCTGGACAATCTGGGAGCCATAGTGGCTTTGGAGAAGCCACATCACCAATTCATGGCCAGCGATAGCAAAGCTGTTACTATAGTACACCCTGCACTTGGCCCGTCCTTTGGTTTAAGTCTTGGCTTAAACAAAAAAAAAAAAAAAAAAAAAAGAAAAAAAGACTACTTAAGACAAGTGTGAATGCTCACGACCCAGGTTTTTTTTTTTTTGCCATAAAAATGCAGACAAAGAACCTTGCACTAGCACAGAATGCCAGAATTCTCCCAGCATCCCCTCTGCGTTTGAGGCATTCAAATAGCAGTGCTATTCCCAAAGCACAAAAAGAGGCAAGAACACACACCAACACAGCTTGGAAACAGGTCATCTTTAGTGTTCGAGTACAACTGGAGCATTATGCACCTACACTATTCCTTAAATAAGTTTACTATTAAAAGTGATGTATTTTAAATTAATGTGCAACTAGTAATAGTACAACCACCACCTTCAACATAGAAGCCTTTGAAATTACACACCGTTATAAGCTCTAACAAAATAAATACATAACTTGATATTTAAATGGTGAAATAAAATCATATTTATATAAGGAACAGCTTTTTAAACATACGTAATTTGCTTTCCTTCTTTATAAGATTAGTACTGAGGACTGAAGTTTTTTTAATCCAATTCATTGTCAAATTCGATTGTGGCCTCAAATATGCAGCCGTTACTTAATGGCTTAATTACCATTCATAAGATTAATAATTCTAGGAGAGTCCCCACTGGATACAGCTTCCAGTTTTGGCTTTGTGACTGGTTCCTACCAATTTTTAGAGGACTGGGCACTTGGGTCAAGTTTTGCATGTCAGTCAGTCACCAGCAAGACTCAACATAAACATATTCTTTGTATGTTTGTGAAAATGTAGTTTTACAAAAGAAATCAAACCAAGAGAACTGGTTAAAAAAACCTTTGCTACTCTCCCTCCTTCACTATTCTGTGCAAAGTTCAAACATGCTTGAAGTTCACACAAATACATGACAGAAGCCTTCTCAAGGTGCAGCCCTTATGCTGGTGAATTGAAGGACCTCTTTCTCCAAAATGCCTCATCACTCCATAACGTTTACAGAAGTTAGGAAATTGCTACAAAAACTGTCTCCTCACAAATACAAATCACAAAAGAAGTGCCAGGATAAAGTGTTTAGAATGTTTTAGAAATCAATTTGTATTAGGATAAAGTGTTTTGTTCTTGCAGTAAGACAGCTTTTCAAGATTTATGAATTTAACTGTTCTGACGACACATTATGGCACCACTTGCTCTCCATGTCCAACAGCTTGCCGAGACTTATCTTTCCAGCCTCCCCCTCCCTCAATCAAGCCTCACCACCCTCCTGCTTTCTTCCTTTCATTACTTTTTTCTGTTCTCTACCATCAAACTTCAAAGCATAAGTTCAGGACCCAGAATAGGCTTGACGGAACTTACTAGTTAAAGCTGCACATGATTTCTGAATTTAGAATTCGGAAACTGGCAAACTGTGGCAAATATAAGTATTTTAAACAAGTTTTGAAACAGTGCACTTTAAAATATAGAATGGACAATATATAAATACACCTATATCACTGTTGTTTTCTAAGCATTCAGGGTTTTTTTGTTTCGGGGTTGGGTTGTTTTTTTTTTTTTTTTTTAAAGCTTCACTTCCATACCTGTAATCCTAGCAGGAATACATACTCCCTTAAACAGAAAGACCTACAAGTTAGCAGTCTTTCTAGTTTCAGATTACAAAGGTAAATCCCTCTGAAAACACAATGAAATACACAAGTTTCCTTGGGCAGAATTAGCATTAAAATTAGCTTCTTCAAAATCCACCCAAAACTTATTAAAAGCAGAAGTAATAGCAGAAGGAACACACACAGATGTGCTGCCTGAGCTTTCTTTAATTAAAAAGTTGATTTTCCCAGTTTCTTCCAGTAAAAAAATGGGATAGTTCAAGTAATAAAATATGGTTGGTAGTTTGTTAAAAACTGAGTGTAGATTTGAAAATGTGAGAAATACCGTATTTTATCTTTCTATCTTGACCAATTTCACAAGATTTCAGTTGTGCTACTTTGGCCTTGTGGAAGTCAGAAATTTTACCAATCGTATTTTTCATCCAACTTCTTCCACCTTGCCAAAAGTAAGCAATTTTACACCATTATAAAATTGGCCCTAGGTGTTGCAATGAGTATTTTATAAGCAAATAATAAGATTCAAAGCAAGATATGCGCCTCCTGGAAGCTTACCAAACTTTTTTCCTTCTCTGGTTGTGCCTGTCATCTTGATCTTGGCAACTTCAAAGAAATCTTTTATTTCCCTTTCATATAGTCGTGATAAATAATCCATATAATTCTTAAAAGAAAAATGTAAAGTTAGTTAACAGGTATAGATATTGACTTCGTTCTGTTACTGTAGACTGAGGTTAAACCACGACAAGTAAGTTCTACTAAATAACAAACTGTTTTGGACTATATATGTATATATATATTCATGTAGCATGCACAAAAATATATTCATGATATTTAAGCAGGTTATATTAATTTTCCTAGTGAGTTCATGAAATTGCTACTTCACCTCCATAAGGAAAGATATGCAATGTGGTACATACAAATAGGATTACTAGTGGTAGCATCACAGAATTCAATTCGAGGGTAGAATGGAGAAAGTTCAGCATCATTCTCTGTAGCCTCTTTTACTAGACTCCTACTATGCAAAAAAAAAAACCCAAACAAATAGGATGCCATTCCTATACATCTTCCTGAGTACATGACCTCCTTTATTACTATTCTCACAAGGAAAACAGAAGACCAGAAAACTTTGGGAGGCACGAACTCTGTGTGCCTACTTACTACAAGATTCAATCAACCCCAAAATAATTTGTTTGCAACACTGCTAAAAATAAGCTCAAATTTTGAAAAGACAAGAGACATAACAACTGAAGTAAGTTTGAAGATTATCTGGTTTGTTTAGATTTTTAGTACAAAGGTTACAATTATGTTTTATTTATTGACAAAGATCACCCAAGAATTTTTTTTCCTATGTTCATAAAAATTTTGTTACTTAGCACACTCAATACATAAATATGTAAGTCTCTCAATTTTTTCTTAGAAGATCACAAAGATGTCAACCATTCATTGACCATTTGCCTTACGCTGAAGGCAAAAGAACAAGTATTTCAAAGCCATTTTAAGAGTCTAATTTAAATCCTCCACAGTTGAGTTTTTAAGAATGACAGTACTTTAATAAAAGACGACTTGTTCTGTAAGGACTAACTTGCCCTTAACTTCTATCTAAACATTTTCTATACTTCTGTAGTAATTTTTTTCACTCCGTCAGTTTTAAACAAGGTAGTTAAAAGTTACATATATACAAAGCCAAAATATTGCTATTTAATCTACTTTACAAGACACTTCTTAAGTTTTTGATACTCCCAGGTGAAATGAAGGTCTGTTGAAATAAAGATGTCACATAGGCAATAAGCACATCAACATGAAAATAGCTTAATTATTTTTCTTACTGGACTGTAAAACAGCAAAGTTGTTTTACATAAATATTAATATGTTACGATACTTTAGAACAGAGACATAGAATCTTGGAGAAAAAAAAAAAATATGGGATACAACAAATACCAAAAAAATGAACTTTCCTATTCCAAAGAGGAACAAGAAAAGAAGAGCAGTGAATTAAATTTAATATAAAGGAATATTACAAGGACATGCACATACACACAGGCAATTCTTTTGACTCTCAAAAATAGTATATTATGTACATTCTCTAGCATCATTTCAGCACTTCACATACCTTTGTTAGCCCTTCGTATTTTCCATAATCTGTGTTCTTGAGCCACTCCATCAGTTTAGCATATCGAAGTAAATCTCTGTGAAATGGATGGTGATTGGGTAATGTCAATTCAGCAGAGTGCTGGGCAAGAGTAGAACTCTGATCATGACCCTTGATAAAAGAAAGTATTAAAGTAAATCTGGAAGCACTATACAGATGTACTAGAAGTTTCCTGAAAAACTTAAAACGAAGACAGCATCCCATTCAGACAAACAGAAAAGCATCAAGATATCTTGCATAGAAACAAAGTCTAGAGACGCAGATTGAAAAGATGCCTAACATAATATGGACACAGAGATATTACAGTTGTGGCAGATAATGCATCTTAGTAAGCTTGTTCATTGTAAGGCTCTCGCTGTTTACCACTTCGCCTTCAGGGTTGAGTCAATTTGGCATTTTTTGCAAAAGAATACAAGGTACACCCGAGTGAAGATTTAATGACAAGTGTTCAACTGTTTCTGAAAAATTCTAAGACATTATTACATTATTTCTCTAAACAAACAAAAAAATAAAATCCATAGATGTTGTTCCTATATACCGTAAGACATTTCAAGTCCCCAGTCAATGGCCTAGGTGTTAATGATGAGCTTTATGCTACGCCTCTGAAAATCTTCTCCAATTCAACCCACTTTAGTCCACTTTGGCCAAGCCTTGGTCAAGTCTCAAAAACATCAGTTCACACACATTCTCTCCCTCCACACAAATGCAGACACACATACGCTTTCAGCAAACATTTACTAGAGTTAAACAGTTTACAACATGCAGCATAAACCAATCCATTTAACAGCAAGCTCCTAACTTCACACTCCTCCTTTTCTCTGGCTTATCTCCTGAAAAAACACACTACCCTTTAAGTGAAGATCACATCATATTGCTTGAACAACATATGGTTTAGCTTTTTTAAGCTTTCACTTGCTTGAACTCACAAGCTTCCTGGGCAATTCGGGAAGCAAGCAAGGTAACACCACAGTTCGGCCATGTAGCAGAACACACAACCATTAGCCCTGGGTTAACGGAGGGGAGGCTGCAACTTAATTTCAAAATGGCTTTAATATTTTCTGTAAAGTCTTTTTTTACCGGGCTCGCAATAAATACAGCAACAGAACTTGATCTTAAGTATAGTTTGTGCCATGGCAGCACAAAAAGATTGTCCTAATTGCTCTCCAATTCCTGTGGCATAACATGCGGGGGGTTTATGCAGGTCAGTCAATGTCAGTCCCTGAGAGAGGAAGCATTCCTGGACAGTTCTGTCTTGGATGTGACAAGCTGGCAGAATACAAGCTCTACAGTTTAAAAACTGCCTTTGCATGTCTAAGTTGGAACAGAAGCCAGTTTGGATCACAGAGTCAGAACTAAAGCAACTTTGGCTCACCCTTCTCTACTGTTTTGGGTACTAATCAGTTCAAGTCTTTGGGTAAAAAAAGCCCTAAAAGCTTCCACAATACATTCACAGATTTTTGTTTTTAAAAAGTTAAGATTTGAGTCTTGATATTATTTGTAAAAGACTAACCTGTACTACATAATGCAATGCGAACATGCCAGCTTCTGAGTAAAGCTGGACTACTTTTTTGTATCCAACGTGAATATGCACTTACTTCAAGTCCTGTTCTCTTAACTACACAAGCTGAGACACAAATGGACCCAAAGAAACAAGTCCTAGACAACTTCATTCATTTATTCTCACAGACAATGGGGAAGAGTCACACTGTTAATCTCCCTTCTAAAAACAATCTCGTAGTCTGACTCCAACAAAAAGCTAACTTTGTAAAGTGTAATTATTGCAACATATAATTTGGAATTGGAATCCAGCCAGCATTAGCCACACAGCTGCTGATGTGATTACTGAGGTCATAGTTGATACTGTGTGTACTTCTGGGCGTGCATATAGCAAATATTTTCAACAGATCTTTGATATGCCTTTATAAAAAACTAGATATAGAAAACCATTTATGGTTCTCTCTCCTATCCCCTGGTGTGCAACATTCCTACAGCATGCATTTTAATGTTCAAGTTCATTATAGTTTAAGGTAATTTACCTGGTGGCTTTCACCACTTTCTTCAACTAAGTCAGTCCAAAGGCTAGTTCATATGACTGCTAGAAAATACTCAGCTATCCAAATTTTTATTGCTTCTTTCATCTAACAATTTTATTCCTGTCCCTTTATTACATACAACTTTTTATTTTTGCTTAGCAGCTGCATTCTTCATAAAGCTAGATGACAAATCCCCTCTCAAGATAAATTTCTCTCTCCAAGCCAACTTTTCCACAGGACTAATCATTCTGGTTGTCCTAAATCATGTCCTGTTCCAAGTCTGCTCCAGAACATTATGGAGCTTCTAGCTGTACCTTCTCCACCTAATTAACAGGCTTCCTCTCACTACACCTACATTTATACTAACTGTTACCAAATGATACTGCAAATTTGTTATTCAACTATTTCATAGTTTTCAAAGCTTCAAACTATTTCATATTTCAAAGGCAGAAAGCCCAGAGTTGCCTTCTAATTCAATGCTTATCTCCTGAAAAAACACACTACCCTTTAAGTGAAGATAACACACTACCCTTTAAGTGAAGATCACATCATATTGCTTGAACAACATACGATTTAGCTTTTTGTTGTTAAAAAAATCTTTAAAGTTATAGACACACAGTAAGGTTAATCAAATATTATTAGGACATAATAAAGACAACTACATTAACTGTTAGTAACAGTTACTGCAAACAGTTTTTAACACTGCAGTGAATGGCAATCCAAAGTTACATTTCTGTTTAAAGCTTTTAAGATTTATTCTCATTTTTACGTAAAGGAGATGAAGCACCTTAATATCTTACAACAGTAGTTTGAATCACAGCATTGGGTTTGTTTGCTTTTAAAAAAAGAACAATTTCGTACTTCTAAGATAATATATTTAGGCCGAAATTTCAACGCAACTTTGGTTTTCCATCTAATGAGTTCCGAATCAGAATATGTCTTGCTTGTATTAGCAGCTACGTCTTGCTTGTATTAGCAGCTACCTAGACATCATTGTGTTTTCATTTGCCATTTTCTGCCTTAGTTTTTTCTGAAGTGCTTTATTTTTTTGAAAGAAATGGTCTAAAAAAATAATGCAAATCTTCAGATGTTAAAGGTAACAAAGTATTCCAGTTAGACTTTTCAAAAACATGGGACTGAGAAATTGCTGTATTTTATTAATCAAAAAAGGTCATTGTAGTAAGATAACACAAAAATCTGTTATACCTCCAACACTTGAATCTGCACCTCAAAATGAAGTACACAACCTTTTTTTTTCTTTTGCAAAAAGAAAAGAAGGCTTTGCAGAGGCTCATCTCTTGAGTTAATGAAGAGTTAATGAACTCTTCCTGCTTAACCTTGCAGCGAGATCCTACTTTTTATCTGCTGATTAATACCTCACAGCTAACAGCAGGCTGAAACTTTTCAGAGGGCAAGTTTATATGAAAGACAATGTGAGGTCACTATTAGTACCAGAATTAAAAAATAAATAAATAAATAATTGCAAATTGGTAATAGCATTCTCGATAGCACTGAAAAGTCTCTTTAGAAGTATTTAATCTAATACATGTAGTATTACATAGTAATAATAATCTCTTACCATTTTTAAAAATAAAATCCCCAGAACATAACATCAGAAAAGGCATTCTGTTAAACAGCCATTTTCAGATGCAAGTCCAATATTGAAACTCTGTGAATGCATTTACACAGGACTTGCACAACATAGCTTCTACTTGCTCATTTAGAGGCCAGGACACATAGCCTGTGCTCAGTTTTTCAAAATATGAAAAGTAACAGGAGAAACATACCTTCTTAAGAACAGAAACTAAAGGCAAAAAGTTTAACATGCTGTAGAACTGGAATTCTTTTGCAACGTGAAGAAAATATAGGAAGCACTTATCTTTGCCATAAAAAGCCAGGCTTATACTCTCAAATGCAATTTTCTATACAATTATCCAGCATAACTCTATTCCATTTTCTGCACGCAGTCTAATACATAAAAACAAAAACTTCTAAAACTTTGATTGCGCTAATATGTGTAAAACCGGAATTATTTTTTATTTACAGATATTACAATTTCACACAATTGCAGTATCTGTACAGTTGTACACATATTGCTATTTCCTGAAAATATTCTTCCTCCATACATCTCAATCTGTCTCTTAGTAATTTCTGGAGATCAGATCAGAGGAATGTTATCTCAAACAGATAAACAAAGCTTGAGGGCTGATAAAAATAATGGAAGTGAGAAGGGGCATAAGTCTGATGCTGTGCAATTGGTAAGAATAAATTTCTTTTTGTAAAGCCAAAGATGCAGCTGCTAGTTAGATAAGTCAAGCTCAAAAAAATTAGTTAGAAAAGCTTGTATCAAACCCGATGTACTCACTGGAACTGAAAGATAATAGGACCTGTTATAGAGTTGAAGGAGGGTCTGAGTAAACTAATTGGAGATAAAAAAAATACAGAAATTAAAAAACTGATGCTAAAAAAGACATCTAGCCTTTAGGAAACAAGTCTTGGTACAGTGATTTCTGAATATTTCAAGTTAAGGCTCAAAAATCAAGGTTTAGACATTTTAGTTTGTATGTTTTTGGTTTTTTTATGGCCCTTGAAGTTCAGACAGCAAGAACTCGAATGTTCTCAGCCTCTGACACCCTTTAACAAAAAAGTCAATGCTTTTTCTCCTCAATTAATCAAGCCTTACAATTAAAATAAATCCTTATATATCACATGTGTTTAATTCAGATAGCAAACCCACTAAAGAGAGGTGTTTTGGGTTTTTTTTAAAATGTAAGAGACTTTTGTAGGCAACTATAGTTTGGTATGCTTAGTAATCTCTCTGCCTGAAGTGCCTCCAGCAGTCCATTTTCTGATTACATCCAGAACGTGTCCAATTTTAGGTGGACTGTTTTTCTTCTCAGGAAAAGTTTGTGACCCAAAACTTCATATAAAATAGTAAGAAATAATACCTGCTG